GGAAAATTAACTCTTGGTCAAATACTGTGAAGATGCCACGGAAGAAGAGACAGGAGCCAATTGAGGATATTCCCGAAGCCTGAAGTTAGACAGCCGTCCAGCCTGATAAAGCCTACCCCATTTTACGGGAAACTCGACGAAGACTTTGATTCGTGAATTAAGAACTTCGATATCCCGAGCTTATTTCTGGACCGAACCAAAAAAATGGATAACGATACCTGCATTCCTCCGAGATCAAGCTGCAGATTATTATGAATCTTTAGACGACGATGTGAAAGATAACTATCGTTCTGTTTGTGACGCTCTGCGGGAAAGATTTATTCCTAAAGAACTCTAATCACTGTATTATTCTTACTTGTTCGGAGACAAACAGGCAGAGATGTAAACCGTAGAAGATTATGCGGCGAACATAACGAAGCTTGCTACACGTGCCTATATGGACATGCCTGGGAGGCAAAAAGGAACTTTAAACTCTCACTAAAGAGCATTTCGTGCAAGGATTAAGGCCCGAAATCAAGAGGTATGTGTTACTTTCTAACCCTAAGATGTTTGAGTAAGCTTTCAGGCATGCGAAGAGGGAAGAGTGTAACAACTTCCTGGAAGTTCTATTTGAAGCCTGTAACCCTAAGTATCCTAAGACCCAAGTTGCATCATTTGAAAAAGTTTGATGATTCTTAGCCAATTAGGACTGAAATTTTTTCTGATAATAAAGCTATAATATTTATAATTATTATACTTGGGTCATAGGATACTTAGGGTTACAGGCTTCAAATAGAAGTGATGGATTGTACAATTTATCAGAAGAGCGATTCAAGGCCCTTGGGCCTCATGTTTAAAGCATCTCGTTGACCGAGAATTAAAAAAAATAACTGAAACTTCGATCCCGATCCGAAATAACTCGATCGAAAGCCCAAATTTTCTCAGTCGCGAAAATGCGAGTTAGTTTTGATTTCTTGTCGCAAAATTCAAATTTTTGGTCGCATATGCGACCTTTTTAGTCGCGACTTGGAGCACTGACTGAGTGTTTGTGACCAACATTGAATCCTCCAAGACTTCCTCTGACACAAATTCATGCTGTTAAAAAAACGTTTTCAGAAAATAACCTCTTGTATTCTATACACTGTGGAATGAAAATAAACAATCATTAATGACTAAACAATGAATTATTGGTCAAGTGACAAACCTGTTCATACACATGGTTAACTATACCTTGTTCAAACCGTGGCTTAAAAGGGAAAACATTTGCAAATTAAAAATATGAAAGTAGCTTCGAAGCTTCAAATAATTCAGGTAAATTAAACATCTTCTTGGAGGTAAATAATTGGCTTTTCGATGTGGGGCAAACATGAATACAAGATAGGGACACAATAAATAACTTGCTTCAGTAATAATCGATTGGTGTTTTCTGCGTAGTTACATGGTCATTACTGCGCATCTTACATACTGTATGCTGGACTGAAAATTAAAAGTGTAACGTGTTCTCTTCTAACACTGGATCCCTCAGTTACTAAACTGAGACCGAGACTCAAAAATAATACTTAAAAATAATCGCCTGCCAAAATATACAAATACGGCGAACGTATATACAAAAGGAATCGCCTGCAAAATATACAAATAAGGCGATACGAGTTCCTCTCGTGTGGAATAAAAATGATTACCCTTAATTACCTAACAAAAGAAATCACTGTTAAAAATCACTATAACAAAAACTAAGTAAGATAATAAAAATCTAAATACAGAATTACATTAATCAAAATACTACTCAACTAATGAGTAAAACCTTCCGCTCTCACGAGTGCTCAACAAATGAGTACTCGGCTACTCAACACTTAACATTTAAAGAAACTTATTCTTTTAAATATATGTCCACTGAGGACTAGTCGAGCTTTTCCCGCGAGAGTAAGGATTCTTGATCCACGTTCTCTTATGGGAAACTGTCGGCTTACCTATAAACCTGTTACACGACCTTCTGCTTCTGCAGCCAAACCAAAACTGAATGTCTGACGCCAGCGGTATGGCGTTTATATACCCTTAGAGCGGAAGTCACATGACCTGCCAACTAATGGCGCCAAATTCAAATTTAGCAAACACTATTTACTTTACAAAAGTAATATCGTGTGAAGAAGGAAAGCCAAAAATTAACATTTTCATTTCTATTCCACATATATCTTAAGAATGTGATTATAAAACAATTAAACCAAAAGTAAAATTACTTACTCCTAATTTTCTCAGAAGACTTATCATGTAGCTATCTATTATCTGAAAAAATTATTTTATTGGTCCAACAGCAGCAAAGCAATATGCTGTACGTTCTTAGAAAGGGAGCATAATGATATGATGATCAACTCACAGTGACAATTTTAGAGACATGGTTATCATAAGTACAGCTAAGTGCATGTAGCTGTAATCTCAATATCGTGAATATACATGTATTCTGAGGTCTTCTAGAGACTTCGGAATCTGTGGTATCACAATCACTTTTAGTTTTCTGAAGGAGACCCTCTTTAGCGAAGTAAGTGATGAGGTCCATGAAAGAGTCAGCAGCCAATTTCCGAACTCGGTTTAGGTATTTGTCCAAGGATTTCTCTGCTCCCTCTTTCACTCGCGCTAATGGGGACTGTCGGGCGGAACCAAGCAAAGAAGGCATCCCTGATGCGGGTTAGTGATGTTTTGGACATTGTGTCTAAGTGTGTAAAAAATTGAAGGGCGATTCCCATTAAATAAAATGGTTCGATTTTGATGACTTTGGCCTCTGTGATGGACTGTAGGGCTTTGTAAACCATAAAGGTCGTCCACCATTTCAACACCGGTGTGCTGCTGTCAAACTTATCCATTTGCGGGACAGGAATTCTGGGTGTTGACTCCCAAACTTGTCGGGGTGGCGCCGCTGGTTGTGGCTGTTAGTCTATTTGCACCTCCAATTCCCTTATCGTTCGATACTCGTTGTCCCCAGATGCTTTTAAGGCCTCTTGTTGTTGTCGTAGAGACTCTTTCATTTATCTCTTGATCTGATTGGTCCTGTCTGCTTGTGTTGGGATGAACTTCTCAGCTCCATGTTTGATGGACCAGGCATGGTAGTTTATATCAGTTCTCGAAGTTTGGGGAAAAAGCTCGGATCGTTCCTCTAACCTCCACCAGTCACACTCTGTTATGTTAAGTATATATGTGTCTTGGTTTTAAGCTATAGACATAGACTTGGGCTTCTCAAGCCAATGGATCAATCCGTTTGTTGAGGCTATATAAATTGAAAGAAGGCAGGAATAAGCTAACGTCCGGTTGGTTTTATTCAATGATGAAAAGCGACCAACCAGGATGCGCATCCTTCTTCACTCAAAAATCTAAGATATTCTTTTAAACCAATCATATAACTCACAATACATTGAAACTGTGAGACGGAGGGGGGAGAGATGTCAAATTTGATAAATACAACACAAATGCTGAAACATCCAAGTAAAAGCAAAATACAAAAAAATCACTCTTTGACACTTCCAGTAGGACCTGGTCTCTCTTCCTTTGATATCTATAATATCAGTAATATTGACCTCCTCATCATCCTCACCGATATATTATTTGTTTTTGTGAATTATTGTGTAGAACATATACTACTTATAAAACTGCATGAAAGGACGAGGTTATGTTGAATATTAAAATTTGTTCCAACTTCGATGAACAATATTTCATCTTAGAAGACAGAAACACAAAATATATAAAAATAAAATGATTAAATTTTCATCTTCATAAGCAATAAAGAAAAGACAAAATATTGGCATGTTTCTTAGTGGATGTTCAAGTGCCAGAAATATGAGCCAATAAAAATTATCTCTTGGTCAAGCAAAGGATTTCAGTTGGCAGAAATGGAAGCATTAGACAAGCAACAGGAAACAATGTCTAAGGAATTCTGTGTAAAAAAAAACCACGGAATATCGTCCAAAAGAAAACAGTCTCAGGCAGTGAGGACGCTGGAGTCACTTGGTTCCTCAGTGAAAGAACAACAGGAATCATTTGACAATTGATAACAGTCTTTGATCAAACTTTGGATGAATTGACAAGTGATGTTCTGCACACTGTCCTAGCACGAGATTGAACCAGTCTATTGTTAGTCTGATCATGAGTAACAGTTTCACAGTTTTTAGATTACTCTGGAGGCACAGCCTATGTAAGAAAAAAACTCATCACAGCGTTTAACTACTTCCTCTTTTTGCATTCCTTCGCATACAGTTCAAGTTCTGTCTAAGAATGCAGGCCTATAAGTCTTGGCAAACTGAGGCAACAAAACAGGCTTACTTCCTGTACGGCTCAAGTTTTGGTAGAATTGCATCTTATCTTCAGTCTTTGGTTCTGAGCAGTTTTTGCTGTGAATGTCCAGATGCAACTGATACTTGGCAGAGGTTAAGTCTATTTCTTGTACTTTTTATTTACTGGTCAAAGATCAGAAAATCTTATTATTATTATTATTATTATTATTATTAGCTCTGGGCAATTTGCGCTTAGATTTTGCGTTGAAACGAAGTGCCATTCTGACACGAATGTATTTAAAAACCAGAGTGCGTGGTATGTCACGTGCTACAGAAAAATTCAATTGCGCATGACAAACAGACAAATTTCTATCCATTTCTTGCATTGATGCGAAGTTTTTGTCTGCGGTGGATATGTCTTCCGGGACTCTACACCGTTGACTCTGATCCTTGCAGATCTGATGTTCATCTTAAATTCAAACATGAGTCGGTCGATTTTCTCCGTCAACCCTCTTGTTTTGTTGTTCAGTTCCTTTTAGCCCAACCTGCGGCGGGAGACGTTTTTCCTATTATGCATAACGCCTCTCCCAGGATTTCCCTGAACTGCTCGTTGATTTCGTTGATCTGATTATCAAAAAAAAAAAAAAAAACAACTAATGATCTGAGGACTTTTTCCTTCCTGGACTGGGTTTTAGTGCCATAGTTCTTTAAAAGATGTGGGTTAGCTCGGGATCCCCATGATATGGATAACTGTGTTCTCTCTTTAGTACCAAAGACAGTACAGGTTCAATTCGATGTCCTTTATTTATATTCACATAGAAATCCTTCGATGTGTCTGACATAGATTGACTACAAAATAAATTTAAACATTATGATTAATACTACTCAATACTAAATGTACACATAATATAACTTTTTATCCGTATAAATCATGACATGAAAAGCGCTCCTTACATTTAATTTTGTAAACATTGATATTATTAGAAACTCCTACTTCAATTAAACGAAACAAGTAAATATAAACAGCCGGCAGCATGTAATAAACAATCAATAGATAATTACCGTGATGTATGTCTGGTACTTTCAATAACTTTCAGTTAAAACATGTAGAACACAACTTTACACTGAATATGGCGCTCATGCATTTTTGGTAAACATCATAGTAAAGTATCATTCGGATAAATTTGGAATATACAGAAATCGAAAGTTACGGACTAAATTGGAATTCGAAATAAAATATACAGGTTGTCCATTACACCGGCCCCTAAATGTGTTTTTACAAAAACATATTTCTTAATAAATCAAAAATGGACAAAACAATCATCTAAAATGAGTTCAATCACTTTACGTTTAACTGCACGAAGGTTCACTGATTTGTTTTCTCTTTTTCACAATCTGTTTCCAAAAGAAGACAAAGCTTTGTGACTGGTCGCGTGAGAATGGAAGACACTGTCTTTTTCCTTGCAACGCGCACAACATCATACTTGTCCTTTATCACTTCTAGCACTCTGCCGAGATTCCATGTGTTTCTTGGAGTGTTTTCCACGATGAGAACTAAATCACCTTCTTGTAAGTTTCTTTCCTGCTTCAGCCACTTCTGTCTCTGTTGGAGAAGGGGTACATATTCTTTGATCCAACGCGTCCAAAACACATCAGCCAAATACTGTATCTGTTTCCATCGACGTTTTGCGTAGTTGTCCGATGCATGGAAAATTCCAGGGGGAAAACTCTCTCCTGATCGCATGAGTAGTATATGATTTGGCGTTAGTGCACAAAGGTCATTTGAGTCATTTGAAGCTTCTGTAAGAGGTCGTCCAGTCATGATGGCTTCAATTTCACAAAACAAGGTTAACAGTCCCTCATCATCCAAATGAATCGTTTGTTCATGCAGAACAGAATACATGATTTTCCTGACTATCCTAATGAGGCGTTCCCATACTCCTCCGAAGTGAGACGCAGCTTGGATTAAAGCTCCATTCAATTCCTGACTGTAATAATTGACTAGAAATTCTGTTCGTATTCCAGGAATTCAGTGCTGTTCTTAGCTCACGTTCTGCTCCTACCAGATTTGTTCCATTATCAGACAGTATACAAGTTGGTTTTCCTCGTCGTGCAATAAGCCTTCGAATGGCGTCAATATAGGAGTCTGTATCCAAGGAAAAGGCAACCTCTAAATGTACAGCTCGAGAAGATAGGCAAGTAAATATGACACCGTATCGTTTTACTATACTTCTTCCTCTTTTAAGCTCAAACGGACCAAAATAATCCATGCCCACTCGAGTAAAGGGGGGGTCATCAGCTTTAAGTCTCTCGCTGGGAAGGTCAGCCATTTTCTGTTTCAAAGCAGGTGCCTGATATTTTCTGCATATAACGCATCTGGAAATGATTGACTTCACAATTGATGACACACCAAGAATCCAATATTTCTCACGGATACGTGCCAGCGTTGAATTTTTCCCCAAGTGTCCGACAGATTTATGTGCTTCCTCTGCTATCAATCTGGCTAATACAGACTCTTTAGGAATAATTATTTGATGTTTACTGTTTAGAGTTGTATCCAGTTTCTTAAGTCTACCGCCTACATGTAGAACTCCATTATGAACAATTGGGTCTAACTTGGCTAGTTTTGATGACCTTTTAACAACTCCATTTTCACTTGAATTCAAGTCTTTAAATTCTTGGGCAAAATACTTCATCTGCACATACTTCAAAATGTATGTTTCTGCTTTGTCAAGAATGTCTGCATTTAATGAAGGTCTTTCTGTTTGTTTAGCATTTTTCAATCTGTCATGCTTCTCCTTCATTTCCAATTCTTGTATATCCTCTTCTGGTAATCCCTCTGATACCATTCTTGATCTCTGTTCACTTTTCCTCTCCGCTATTATTTTGAGGTTTTCTCGTGCTAAGAATAGCCATCCAGTCACTGTTTTCAGCTTCTTCCATGAAGAGAAGTGCCGGAGTAATCTTTCCATTCCTTCCACTGTTTCTGTCTCAACTGCTGTGTTGACACTCTCCTTAATTTCAGCACTGTAAATTTCTAACAAGTCACTAGCGATTTCAGTAGATGGCCATGAAACATATGGTTTCCATACAAACTCAGGGCCGCTGAACCATGATGCTGAATCTAGAAATCTACTCACTACTGGTATTCCCCTTGATGCACAGTCTGCTGGATTTAATTTCGAGGTGACATAGTGCCACTGATTGATTGTAGTTGCTGCATGAATAATGGCAAGCCTATTTGCGACAAATGTGTGAAAGCGAGTTTTCGTGTTCTTTATATAACGAAGAACGGACATGCTATCTGTCCAGAAGTAAACTTGATCAATTTGGTAATCCAACTGTTTTGTGACTATCTTGCATAATTTCACTGCTAAAGTTGATGCCGTCAACTCAAGTCTCGGTATTGTCACTGTTTTTAATGGTGCCACCCGCGATTTCCCAAGAACGAAGGAACAGTGGATTTTTCCAGTTTCACTGACGAGTCGTAGATATACCACAACTCCAATTCCAACTTCACTTGCATCGGCAAAACAGTGCAACTCCTGACATGTCATCGTCCCGAAGTCCTGTGGTTTGTAGCATCTTTTAAGTGTCACATTTTCAAGTTTCTTTGCTTGTGTCAGCCAATTTTTCCAGTCCTTTAGTTGACTTCCTGTAATCTCTTCATCCCATCCAACTGAATTTTTGCACATTTTTTGAAGAAGTGTCTTTGCTGTCATCACGAAAGGTGATACGATACCAAGAGGATCAAATATTGAACTAACTATAGATAGAATTCCTCTTCTGGTCATTGGCTGATTTTTAATGTTTATCAGGAATCTTAAACGGTCACTGTTAACAAGCCAGTACACACCTAGTGCACGTTCTACGAGTGTTTCACTTTCACCTTCGAGGTTCCATTTCTGCACATCTTTGGTTCGATCTTCTTCTGGAACAGATTCTAACACTTGTTTGGAATTACTTAACCATTTTGTCAGATGGAAGCCACCTTTACTACAAAGTGTAGACAGATCTTCAATGAGTAACGCTGCTTTCTTCTCTGTGTCAACCGAAGACAAACAGTCATCTACATACATGTTCCTGAGTACTGTGGTCACAACTGTAGGGTCAAAGTCAGAACCATATTCTTTAGCTGTCTGTTGTAGTGCATAGTTACAGCAAGTAGGAGAGGAAGTGGCTCCAAAGATGTGAACTTTCATTCTGTATTGTTCAGGGCTGGCTTCCAGATTGCCGTCCTTTCACCACAGAAATCTTAGACAGTCTCGATCTTGTTCAGGGATAGATACTTGGTGAAACATTGCTTCAATATCTCCTTGAATAGCAACTTTCTTCTGACGAAATCTTAAAAGTACACCAAGTAAACTATTTGTAAGGTCGGGTCCTTGGAGTAACTGGCTGTTTGGTGAAATCCCCATATAAACTGCAGAGCAGTCGAACACAACTCTGATTTTCCCTGGTTTTTTATCATTGTAAACTCCATGGTGTGGGAGGTACCATATTCTGCCGTCCTCTCTTTGTAACTGACTCTGGGGAACAGGTTCCGCATATCCCTTCTCAAACAGTTTGTTCATAAAAGTCACATAGTCATTTCTAACCTTTGGATCCCTTAACATTTTCTTCTTCAGACTCTCAAGTCTCTGAAATCCCTGCATGATATTGTTGGGTAACTGAATCAAAGGATCCTTAAACGGAAGTCCAATCGAGTAATGACCATCTCGAATGTGAATCGATTCTGAAACTTGAGTTAAGAAGCTCTTATCTTCTAAAGAGTTTTCTTTCACATCATCTTCAAGACGTTCTGGAAAGTCATAGTTTATGGAATCTTTCACCATTTTTTCTAAGTTTCTGTCTCTTTCCTGAGCATCTTCTATAGCCACTCTGTTTACGTCAAATGTATCTGATGCATTTTCCCTTATGACATTCCATACGATCCATCCTAGTCTAGTCCTTGTTGCATGAGGAGAACCGCTTGGCCCAGCAATTACCTCGAATGGAGAGTAAGCATCAGGTACATTATTCCCAATCATAATTCCAATTTCTGCATCAATTTCAGATGTTTGAATCGTTGACAGATGTGGCCACTGTTTTAGTTCTTGCTGTGTTGGAATGTGCTCCTTTGATACGGGCATGCATTCTTTCGTGTACACATTTGGTAGAGTTATAATATGCTCCATCGAAAGTCCACATACTTGCAACCCACTGACGACGTACGTGTTTAGTTTCTGGGAATCCCCCATTGTTTTTATGGTGATTTGTTTCTTCTTCCCACTTGCTCCAAGTCTATGCATTATGTTTTCTGTACAAAATGACACACTGCTGCCAGAGTCAAAGAATGCATAAGTTTCTATGCTATATGGTTTATTTTTCAGTTTTACTCTCACTGGAATAATCGCCATAGCACAGGTTGTTTCTCCGGCCCCTTTATCACTAAAGGCACTGATCTGAGGTTTAGAGATCTTGCATATAGTTTTGACATCCGTTGACGCAGGATTAATGTTTTCTTCATCTGTAGGTTTTGCTACACATTTCGTAGGGTCATGTAGGATCGTAGGGTGACGTCTGCTGCATATGGAACACTTAAGTCTAGCTTTACATTTTTTAGTAACATGGCCTTTCCTAAGACATCCATAACACTGTCCATTATTTCGCAGGAAGTTGTATCTATCTTGAAGTCCTTTGGTTACAAACTTCTTGCAGTCATTCAGTGCATGAGTACTACTTTCACAGAATTCACACTTCTGTTCTCGTACTTTAAAGTCTTGTACATGTACTTCACTTGTGACATCAGTAGACGCGACAGCTCTCTTCTGGTTACGATCCTGATTCTTGGAATTTCCACCAATAGATGCGTTACCATATGTGGGATCTTTCGATTTCTTAGCTTCTGTTTTCACAAAACTAACAAAGTCTTTAAACTTCACTGTTTTCTTGGTTTCCTTAGTTTTCAGCACAACATTTCTCCACCTATCATGCATATACACAGGGAGTTTTGTCTCTTTATATTATCTGAATAGTCTAATACAGAAACACTATCGATGCTTTCAGCTGCATTCTGACACTCCACCAAGAACAAGGAGAAATCATCTAGCATCTTTGCATCCTTCACTGCTGGCCAGTCTAACGCCTTCTTTTTGAATGCTGTTGCGATTACCTCATTGTCTCCATACCGCTCTTCAAGTTGATTCATTGCTGCTGTGTAGGCTCTTTCTCCCGACATATGACTAAATCCAGACACTACTCTGTGTGCTTCTCCGAAAGTCAATTGTTCCAGATAATTCATTCTTTCATCATTGTCTTTAGTATTCGTTACAACTTTAGTATTTAATTGTCTGATGAAACGTCTGTACTCTAATGGATTTCCTCCAAATTTCCTTATTTCTGCTACCGGTTTTCGGAGATATAGTACGACACACTGTATAGCGTCTGATTCAGATATCTGTGGTTTTGTTTTGATATCAAGGCAATGAAGGTCAAGTGGAGGAATTTCTTCACGCTTGGGTGTGAATGTCTCTGCATTCGGATTCAAAGGCCTCTCAAACAAGGACGGTACTGACGCAAAGTCACTATGAAACAAAGGTGTTTTTGGCGTTGGTTTTGGCGCTAATGTTCTAGGATTCAAAATATCTATGTAAGAATCAACATCACGCAAATCAGCATCCTCATATCTTTCATATTTCTGAAGAACTTCTGTTTTAGCATTCGCAATAGCGATATTTGTATGCAAATCCAACTCTTCTTCTTCAAGTTTTAATTTCATTTTTGCTAACTCTAGTTCCTTTTTATGGGAAAGTGCTGCTTTGCGAGCTTTCAACTCAGCTACTCTTTGTTCCTCTTCAAGACGTTTGGACGAAATACTTGAAGCTATAGATGTGTGAGACTTGGACTTTTGTGATTCCTCCTTAACACTCTGGTGAGTGGTGACCGTAGGAAAAGAACTCTTCTCTTTC